CTGGCATTTTACACATAGTCCACGAGGAGGCGCCAACACAAAAGTCAGAGACTTCACATGAGATTTGGACCATCTTGTGGGGGAAAAGCAGATTACTTCCTATTCTCGAGCGCCCCCTCTGGTGGGGAAACATTTTTTCAGGGACACAAACTTTTTCAGAACACCGGTAGACGGCAGCCATTACAGACGAATATGTGTTTGTTGTTGTTCGAGCAGCAGCTCAGTCACACGTTAATGTCATTAGTTTGTTATCATTACTAAGCTGCAGGACTGCTTTTTTTCCCTTTTTTCACATCATGTCACCTGCCTGGGTCTGTTATTATCTCGCTCTGAAGCACAGAGGAGTGTCAGAGGTAAGGTCGCTTCAACTGCTTTTTATGACGTGGTCTCATTTCCGGACTCAGGCATTTTGTGAATGAATATTTCAGTTAGAATATATAAGTAAAAATATTTATCCGAATATAGTACTACCCCCCAACTTTATGTATGATTTTATGGATTTAATTTTATGTATCATACTTTAATAACTATGGTAATTCACACAGAAGGTGTTTAATCCTGTTGAAAAAACACCTTGGCCACCCCTTGTAAAAAAGTCTAGCTCCGCCCCTGATTATGGAAATAATAAAACTCAAACTCTGCTGCCTTCTCTCTGCAACATGCACAGACACACAACCTGCTCGTTCATGAATGTGCACACACACACACACACACACACACACACACACACCACTTAGCAGAAAAGTGTTTGACCTTTTCTAAGTGCAGTCATGGCAATTAATAGTTGTATACTTGGAAAAAGTAAATGTCACTCACCATGTAAATGCAAGCCCATCTGAGCCATAAGCTTTGGAATAAAAATGTTGTTTAGTTTATTTTTTATTTTTTATGTGAGGTGTGTAATCAAATCTGTGGCCACGGCTGTTGTTTGTTCAGATTCCGAGAAYGCTGGCGTTCCTGCAACGTGTCAGATAATTAACAGGTAGGTGACAACATGTCAACATGCAGGCCCACATTAAATCAGCCGAAATGTTGTTTCTTTTATTTATTTATTTATTTTTTTGGTATTGTATAATATACTAATATATAAACATCTCAGATCAGCTGTGAGAAATCCTTAAAAACAGATATTTTTAAAGCTTCTGTATATTTTCTTTGAACTCATTCCTAAACTCCTGGGATTTTTACCTCTGCCAAGGGCGAGGTAATGTTTTCAGTCGCGTATGTCTGTCTGTCTGTCGTTCTGTCTGTGGACAACATTACTCAAAAACTTGTGGACAGATTGTCGTGGCATTTTTACCACATGTGGGTACTGGACCAAGGAACACACCTTTAAATTTTGGTGATGTTCCAGATCACAATGCAGATACAGGAATTTTTTTCTTTTAACACTCTGAGATCGGCAAAGCTGTGATGCTTTCACAGGGCTTCTGTAAAAACAGTGAGCTGGATTGGACAGCACGGACTTCAAACTTTATAAAAGTAATGTTAAAACSACATTTAAYGATGAATAMWWTWTGCCATAATATGCGCATTTACAGAACTTTTTGTGACCAGGACTATTTTTCCCATTTCCTCAAACACACCACATTTCCGAAACAACCAATCAAAACAGTTTGTCTCTACTAAGCTTGTAAACAGAGAGCTGCCGGGCCTCAAAGTTTGGAGACGGGGGGAGCCAGGAAGCACTTTATAAAGAGAGTCAAACCATTACAAACTCATACAAGGAGATAAAACAGATGTTTTACATGGTGAAATGTGACTGATAAAAACTTAGGAGCTTAATCCCACACCAGTTTGACCATGAATAACATCTGGTGATGAGTCTGACTTTTTTTTTTCACATTGGACTCCACAGAGAAGAAATCCCGTGCATTCTGCTGCTTAAATGTTCACTACGTCACAACTTATTCAGCAAATGTGTTTCCATCTCTGCTGTTGTGCATTAACTCTTACAGGATGGAGGAAATTGAACTTGGCGGAGGTTTGCACTCTCCGAGGGCTTCTAGTTTTTTGCTGCTTTGCTGTCAAACTTCAACGAGGCAGACTCCAAACAGTCCAAGTGTTTTTACAGAAACCGTCCTTCCTGTTATCTTTTATTCCCTCCTGTTGTTCTCGGGCCGAGCAGTGTGGAAGATCACTTTCCCTCTTTAAAAAAGCATCTGAGCTGCTGCGGCCCGTCTGCTCGTCCTCCTGCTCTCCTGAACATGGCCCCATGCACTCAGTTTGGTAATAAAGCAGAGTTTATTAGAAGAAACGAACAGACGAGACCCCGGCCTGAATGCCAGGCTCAGGTTCCAGAACAGCGACAGGAAACTGTTTCTACAATCCTYTCTCTGTAATTTTAAATCACGCTCAGGGTTTATCCACCAACACTGCCTCTCACGCTTCAGCAAAGCAAATTAACGACACCGATGATGCTGTCTAAATAAGGCTGCCGTCTCCCTCGGGCTGAGACGTGTCAGCTGCAGGGGATATTTTCTGATTTACAAGCCGAACAGAACGAGCTGGACTCTTTGTTTTTGTTTGCAGGAAACAGGTTTAAAGCTTAAAAGAGTTAGAATAATGTGGATCAAACTGAATAAAGAGGAAATAATGAGATTTTTAAATATGTGACAGGATGAGAGAGAGGGAGGGATTACTGGTCAGACTGGAGGTAGGAAAATCAGCACAGTGGGTTCTTCAATCCACTCTCCAGGGTTTGTTTTTATGAGCTCAGACATGACTTTCCCACAGGTTGTCAGAAGGAAGCTGTCACTCTCATTAGTTACAGTCCAGCTGAGGACGGAGAGCAGTCAGAGATCAGGTCACACATGAAATACTTTGTAACAAAACTTTTTTTCTTTCTTCTCTCTCTCTCTTCTTGTAAGAACAGGACCAGAGACATTCCCACTGCTGAGCTGTGTGCAAACACAGTAATCAGGGAAGACGAACAGTTTCACTTCTTTTTTTTCTTTTTTTTTATTTTTGTCATTCAATACTTCTAAGATAAGGTTTCATAAGTTTCAGTTGTCCCTGAATCGCTGCCGGGGTTCTGATTTCAAACATCAAGAACTTTATGCAACAAATTATATTTGGAAATAGCTGTAAAACCTGTCTCGAGCCGAGTCTAAACTCTTTAACGTTGTTGCAGGCGTCTTTAATCCATCTCAGAAACTGTTTTTTGACAGTTGGATGAGTTCTCTTCTGTAAAAACATTAACGCTTGCAGCCCAGGGGTGGGCATCTGTAATGATGGAAGAGGCCAGAGTGCCACACTTACCTACACTGCAAAAACTGTCCATGTTACCAAGTTTTAAACTCTTATATCAGCCAAAAAGTCTTTTTGATCTTGTTTTGAGACTGATTTACTAAACAAGAACTGATTGTGTAAGAATAATCATCTTGTTTTCAGAATATATAAGATTATTTGTCTTGTTGGCCTGAAAATTTGACTCAAATTAAGTCAAAAATTTCTGCCAGTGGAGTAAGAACATTT